GTGTGTGTGTGTGTGTGTGTGTGTTTGTGTGTGTGTGTGCGTGTGAGCTGTTCTCTCGCCTCTAGACTGATCGTTCACGACATATGTTTGTGTTTGTGTGGCCGGATTCAGAGCTCTCTGTCACTCTCGTGATGTCTTGACCCCATGTTGGTAGTCAGCAATTGACGCCTAACGGGTAGCTACATCAGTGGAGTTGTCTATAGTGTGAGTACCAACTAAGTCAAGGGGTCATTTATAGAGCCACCTATTCTTTCCTCCTTCTCCTCCTCTCCTCCCCCGTCTTACCCCATCTTTCACACTCTTACGCTAAACATTTTCTGATGATCTGCTTCCGTGTCATTACGGATGGGACGGGACAGGCGGCGTTTGGTACGGAAGGTGTAGCTGGAGGGAGTGGTCTCGGTCCGCTCGGAGGGGTCGGGATATGGAGGAGATCGTGGAGAAGAGAACCACGTGGTGAGGCAGTGGGCACGGGGTTTGGGTGCGGTTGGTCGTGTTGTAGGGAGACGGGGGGAGAATATTGGATCACGAAACACTACGCAGGGGGGAGGGATTGGAGGGAGGGTGGATATAAGAGGAGGAGCGGGTGTCGTTTCTACTTAAAAAAAAATCAGGGTTAGGTATGTTGACATGTGTTTATCTGCAGTCATAGATCATCCTGGGTTGTTCCGATGCATCTTTTTTTTTCAGTCTTTTTTTTTCTTTCACAATCTTGAATCTTCCTTTTTTTTTTGAGAAAACTACGGCGCAGTCAGGGATTGAGTTTGTAATTGCACTTGAGGCAAAAGGGCCGGTAATGCTGAATGTATGTGACCTACGTTTCGGGTCGGGTGGGGTCGCGTGGGGGTGTGTTGTATTCGCGGGATTGCCTGAAGTGCAATTACAAACTGTTTTCGTGACTGCGCCGAAGTTACCCCTTTTTCTTTTTTCCCTTTTTTTTTTACACTGACACAAGGCTCCATCTATTGGTGGGGAGCTTCACCTGCTGGATACCGGGTCCAGCGTCCCTTTAACATCAGGTAACCCGAATTTGTTGAAGGAGAATGAATCAGAGACCCGTCAGCATTGATTAACCCGAATTTGTTGGAGGAGAATGAATCAGAGACCTGTCAGCATTGATTGCCCTGGAGTCCAGGGGATTGACTGCACAGGTTATGGGATGACTATCGATTATCCCTTCCTGAAGATTAATAGTACATTCAATACAGTAACTCTAAAAATTTCGAAGTTAGGATCATAGCCATAGATCATCTTTTAAGCCTGAAATTGCAGAAACGACCAATTGTCAGCTGTTCATCATCATCATAATTTGAACATCTGGGTAGGATAATCTAGGTATATACATGTATAT